CTGAAAGAAGTTATCTTCAGCTGTTGTAATCAATGAAATCAAAAGTGAACATTCCATCAATTTCCTGCATTTAGCGAGTCTCACCGTCCAAGCAAAAGCGCAGCACCGAATGGCCATTGGAAACAGTGTTTAAGTTACATGGAATGACTCTGTGTGTAGGCTGCAACTCAATTATACATAGCGGCTTCTTTATTATTCATTTCGCAGTACATAGACAACCTTGTTTCAAATCAGCTAATGACTCCTATGTTTATGCTGCACAATACTCTTTCAAAACACTTATCCCATATTGTTTGAATGCAGACCGCATGACACGGTTGCCAATAACACCGGAGTTATGTGAGAAACTCCGTAATCTTACCGGAAAGCTTTTACTGTACTTTCGAAATTATGTGTAAAAAGATTGATACCGTTAGGAACTATGTTTCTATTTCCATAATCACTATTTGAGACTCCTCTTTAGACATCTGAATGTCTCAGTTACCTTGGTTTACAGTGAATGACACACGTTGGACTGCTTTTCTGCGCATGATTTTGGTTTACTAATGCCGCCACTATGCTTGGCAGCAATGGCATTCGCTGTTGTCTTTACATTAGAATTTATTGATTTCTGAAATGCGCCACTTAATACAGAATTGGCTCATATCAAGCATACGTTTGTTGAAATGCCTAAATTAGTAACTTCAGGTACACATCGTACAGAAGCATCCCTTACTGTTGCAATGTAGTTGAGTTCAGCACCCCATTAAGACTGCTTAAAACACATCACTCTACTATCGCGCAGCAAACACGTGAACCAAACGCGGCCCTTGGCTAAAACGGTTAGATGAAATGCCAGTGGAAGATGGTGGTGTTGGCCACGTAAAGAACAATGCAGTTTGTAAACCTAGATTGACCTTAAAAGCTTAGCAAAGACACTTCGTTCTAATAAACTAGCAATAACAAAATGTGAAAAATAAGTGACTGTTTCAGTGCGCACTTGAGTGTGATCGGAAATGTCCTTACCTGCAAATGAAGATAGCTCTGGTTAGCAAATTTGTGTGCAGTTTCCAGCGATCGAACTAAGCGCGTAGAGTCTTTTACACATTCCAGTTTATCTCAACTGCGCGTAGATAGAAAAGAAAACAAGATTTGTGTTCGATGCGAAAGTACGACATCGTCTTGAGTTATAAAAGAAAAGTCACTTTCTAACAGTACACTATGAAATTATGTGATAGCATCCAAATCTCTTGATCGATGCACTGTTTGAGGAACCATGTTAAACACATTCGACCACTCATTGTAGCTTGTTTGCTAATTTAGGCGAATAACTTATCTACACGCGTCGCCACAATTTCCATTTCCTCTGGACGGCGTGAGGAAAAGTAATTCTGACCATTACAACTGAAACTGATTTTGTGGGGACGATTTTATAGCTTTGTCTAAATGTGTACGGGTGTAAGTGTCATCTGAGCCACTGCCCAGGGTTGTTTTAAACCTAGCACTATCTACTCATTAAAAAGTGATGGATAATTTCGGAATTTTGGTTCCTCTAATGATCCTGTGCTGTTCACACTGAACTGTCCAGGCAAACACTGGTCTTAACACTGTCTATATGGTTGGTTCACGTCGAAATTCTTGTCAGCATTCAATACATGTTCGGAAAATTATTCTCATTTTCTGTGCCTTGATTCAGTGACCAACGTAAGGAAGCTCTTATATCTCCAACGGGGAAATTTATGAAACAGCAGTGCTGTCCACCTAGCTGAGACAGTGAACATCGTGCAGGCAGCAGACTATCAACAAAACACAACCATCGTCCGTTACTTAAATACCCGCAATTTGATGAGATGCTGTCGCTGGTTAAGAGGGCACTCACTAATACCATCACTCTCCCAAGAATTATTGCATTTGACACCTTTTATTTACATTTAACACTTCACTTTTATAGCCCTGTCACGGGGTCAAGGTGCATGCCGAATGAACACCTCCCAATGTGTGCGTCAATCTCAGAGTCTCTCATTCTTTGACGACTACGAACTTGCAAGGTTTAAATGAACAGCTGTTCAACCCACAAATTGATCATAACCATGTAAAATAAATGGTTCTAATACTTTGTAAATCGCTGTAAAAAAAACCAAGAAAACGCACATGACTGTCATTAGTTGTACGGAACGTTGGATCACTAATTGTACGTTGACAATGGCCAGCCCACCAAATAGGTGTGTTTAAATAGAAACCAAATTTTTTCCACAACCAGTTGGTTGCTCGTTGTAGATAATTATCCGTACTGTCGGATACAAAATAATTCCCTCAGCTGACGACGCACTCTTCCCAACGGTGCTTCCAATTTGGAGGGCCACTTGGAGAGTGATTTCTGGGATGTGGTGTAGGTATCTTGGAAAGCATTTCCTTTCAGTGTTTTGTGTTCGAGAAACAGGAAAACTAAAGTCTTTATTGGTTCTCCATGCTGATCAATTTGATCGCAGACGATTCGCCAGCAACCAGAATGGCCTCTTCAGTGCGTAATTACGAATAGCTTGTTATCATGCGTTGGGTTTCGAGGAACTCTATAGGTAGATTTGCATATGTATCATATCTATAAACTCCCGTCCCACCACTAGTGTTTATGTTATTAAGGAAGTACGCATTACCATTGCCAATTGCAAACAGTTCCTGGCTACTTTCAACATGGTTCAGTTTTGTGCGATTATTCATCGCAACTAGACTCAGGCAGACAGCCAACACACATCCAGGAAGCGTCAGACGATCGTTACTTCCTATTGGTACTCGTCAGTGTCGCACCCAAAAGAATCCTACCAGATTATGATTGTCAGTCAACAGTCGTAACGTGAATTTAGCACTGGCACGACGCATCTGAATTTTGTCACTCGAAAGCTGTAGCATGATGCCAAGATTGTAGCGAGAACGACACGGTAGGGGAGAACGCTGTTTATTGCACGCCGAGAGGTTTACCCACATGTCCCACGCACACACATAAATATAGCCGCGTTTCCCACTTACGACGCACCACGTTCCGCCGCGTGAAGTGGTGTCCACTAAGCGCCATTTGACTGATCCGACCTGGACATTGAATGTCCCGTTTTCCGCCCACATTTCTGCTCCCTTGCGTCGCAGCCTATCCAGACTGGATTCGTACCAAAGCTCTCGACTTGCTTGCTCGGGGCTGTGTTGCTCTGGTCGGGCCGATTTCTGGGGCCGTAGATACCGGCATATCTCTTGGGAAAATCGGGCTCCCTTTCATGTCGCCTCTTGTTCTTTCCGGCGTGGCCGCGGTATCGTTTGTCGCTGACGACCCATTCCCGGATTGCGTCGTAGGCCACGAGCTGGGTTGACGATTCCCGTTCCCATTCTCCGCGTTAGTTCCCATCTCCTGCTGCTTCCGGGGCAATTCCGTGTGAACTGAGATCCGCGTCCCTACAAGATAACACCCACTTCAGCAGGAACTTCTCCAGCAGTTAAAAAACGAGTTCCACAGATCGCAGCACAAACCCTTTTAACATGATCACAATCTGTTGAGGTGCAATGTCACCAGGTTTGAGCTCACCATCGAAAGGTATTCCGCCGCGTTCAACTCGTTTAAACCACTAATAACCCCGCGTGTAACTTATGCAGTCCTTCTCATCTGCTTGGTCAGGGAACTAAAATTGCTATATAGAAGTGTTGTAGAGTTTTAGCACACATTCATGCGCTTGCGCTCTTGTTAAAGCTCTTTCATTGTCACTTTCACATTGATTCGATGAGTAGCTTGTGCATGTGCTCACGTCAAAGGCTGTAGGTCACCAAAAGCGGTCAAATCGAAATGCAGCAAATGGCATTTCGTTGGCAAAACACGCTTCTACGTACGCTCAGCAGCCGCAATGTGTTATCACCGCTGGTTGGCTCGCTATTTTATATGCTCTGTTTCGTTTTAGACACAATTGTATGTATGCTAATTAAACAAGGGTCTGCTTCTCTTGATTACCGAAACAATTGTATCCACCTTCATACACGCTTTAAAGTCTTTGCAGTGCTTAGTATCCTTAGGCGCTTTTTCCTTCTGAAGGAGAACAGTGCAGTCTGCGGCGAGCAGCTCTATTCAGCTGTGGAATCAGGGATGCTGCTGACTCATTCTACCTGATAGATTCTATCACCATCTCACTCCCGCCGTAAGCATCGTGCTCAAGTCATTTATGCTTGCTTATTTAGGACATAAACTAGTTAATCATGACCAACCATTATGTTTAGATTTCACAAGCATTTGGGTCTAATCTGTGCTATATATGGGAAGCTGCATGGCTGGAGTAATAAAGAAGGGAAGGAAAACTTCTTTGCTTACGGCTCCGCACCTCTGGCTAAATTCACACGACAGGGGCGAAAAGTTAAAATGCATGACATCCACTTTGCGCCTTTTAACCTTTAAATTGTAAACATTCTTTCGGCTCATTGTTATGAACGGCCGCAGAATCACTGCTTACAAACACAGCACTGTATATACTGACCGCAAAAGATGCCAGTAGCAGAGATGCCTCGACAGAAATTTATCATACTGTGCAGCTTACTACCCGCTACCCTACAAGCTGATAGCAAGCAAATTATAGTGTAATATAATAAAACACCAGCTTCGCACGAACTCTACAATTATGTCTATACGGAACAAGGAATGGAGACTACGGTGGTTTTAAAAATTTGGTACCATTTATCCCGACATATAGCTGTATAACATTTCTTTTAAAAGGCTTGAATCCGAATTCCTTTGTTTGTTCCGAGATGTATAATTAGTCAAGTCATTATTTTGTAATGCAGTAACAGCATTCACTAGCTCACTTTAATGAAGCAATGTTGGTCGACTTTTCACTTTATGGCTCACACAGTGTGCTTGTTCCAAATTCTTAGTGTAATAGCGGGCTACTGCCAACACATCTTCCCTGTGACGGCCAGGCAACTTCCAGGTAGACATCTGATGCTGCTGAACAGCTGTTCCTTACCAACATTGCTTTTGTTCAGACGACTGCTTAGTAATGGACAATTCTCTGATCTTATGTCAATCAGCTCTATTGAATCCTTCCGTGCTACCCGCATCCGTGAATAATTCAGTAAGTGACCTGCCTCCGTAACTCGCCCTAGCTTCAGCAGTCCGGGTCTAGCCAATTCACCTGAAAAGTTTCGTTAGCTCTCTCGGGGAAGCACACTTGTCTACCAATGAACACAGAACTTTGAACCCACTCTGACTAATCGGCCAGCTAAACCCTCTCGGTGACAACGGAACCGAGTGGACCACTGATAAATGGACGGTGAGACATCGCGACAGAACATCGAACTACCGGAATGTGTGAAAGAGTTGTAAAATACGGAAAGCGCAAACACAGGCACACAGGAGACTCTGTACGAATTTACAAACGTAATCGATTATCGAGCCTCCCTCTTTGTGCACTTTTGTGAGTGTGTAAATATGGTATGTCTTGTGTTCCATGCGAACGCTGGCTGTGCAGTGGTGCGAACAGACCTCTTTTGATGTCAGCGTTTAAGTGTGCGCGTGTGTGCGTCCATGAAGAAAGACGACCGGTCGAATGAATTCTGGTTTAACCACTCACATTGTGTCCAGCACTGTTGCAATCCAACTGCGCATTATTCGTTGTTCACTTATAAAATGAAACAGTATCTTTTGGATCAATTTTTAACCATTTTGCTGTGTGTTTCCTTATACCACCCATTAGAGCAATAGTGTCGGCAAAGTACTTACCCCGCCATGCCCCATCGAACGGGCATATTCACCTATCTTGCAGCGTGAGGAATTCTTACAACTAAACAATTACCAGCTACACTCAAACACACGAAGTCATTCCAACTGGTCATCAGCAGCCGATCGTCTTGAAAGAAGCAACTGCAGCCTACATACGGAATGCTTAAAGAATTGCAATTCCTCGGAGCCTGGTAAGTATGATGGTCCTTGAAATTTCATCATAGCTATGTGGGCAACTATTGGCTTTGTATAAATTATCGTCAAAAATGGTATCAGATCTTTGCAGAGTTGCACTAGCTGTACCAACTAGGTGTGAAGATGTGCAAAACGGCGCGTTTTGCATTGTGATTACTTTGTAGATAATCTAATTGGTGACCATTGGAAGCGCAAACACATAGAATCTGTAAGTGATTATAGTCCCGCCATTAGGGGGTCAAACTAAATTAACTGTCTGGCACTTCACTGTGGGATAATCAATAAACAAGCCAAACGATCCCAATTGTGATGGTCCTTCATGTATGTTGATGCTGAGGTTGGGTTGTCACGCAAGTGCGACACCAAATCAGCCAAACTGGTTATCCGGATTAGCAGTAAGGTGGATAGAGCAACAGATTGTGAACAGTCTTGCGATTCATGTAGCTGTGCACAAAACACCTCCAGTATACCGCTTTCGATTGATTCTTACATAATGATCAGAAAACATGTCGTATCGTTTGAAATCACATTGCTTCGGGTGTACGATGAATTCGATGCACAGTAGAAATTAATTGCACCTTTTATTCCGTGGAACAACCTGGATTACTGAGTGAAGAAATACATTGGGTCTTACGTTCACTCATTGTTTATTCCAATAGGGCGTTTCCCAAAGTAGTTTGAATGGTCTAACAACATAATAAAAAGTACCTTATACTCCTATCGGGTAGAAAGAAGTCAGTAGTGACAAACAACTATCTCTACTGTCACCATGCTGTGGTTTACATTTAGGAAAATGACTAAAATCGAGTGCTAAAGAAATAATTTATTTGTTTCAACTTGTGTGATTCATTGAAAGCATGCGATTTCAGTTTTAATTAAGGGTAGCAGGATACTAGTGCCGTTTTCTGGGTTACCATATGCGAATTCGTAAGCCATTCCCTAAGAGACAATACTATGTACAAGAAACAGATATTGGGTATTAATCAGCTTTTTTGGCAGATGAACTTGGTCGTCGAACTACGCGACTATTTGAGAAGTCACTGTGCAGCTGTTCCCTACCTGACTACTAGAAACACGCTGTTGCATGCGCAGTTTGTAAGAAGAGTGATAAACATCACCCTGAGAACTACAGAACTGTTAGCCTAATCAGCGTGTTGGTCAAGCTACTTGAAAAACTTGTGAGGGATGCCCTTGAAAGCCGCTTAATTGCGTTTGTGTTGCTCAGCCTCTCCCAACATGGTTTTCCTAAGGGCTATTCTTGCCTTACCTAATTTTTAGTTGCCCACAAACACTGGATCGATACCGTTGATCAAGGAAAGAATTGAACGTATCGTTCATTGACTTCTCCATAGCTTTTGAAAATGTTCCGCACTCTCGCCTTTTATATAAGTTGCAGACTTATGGTATCTCGGGGGCAGTATTGTAATGAATTTCGGTATGTTAACCGGAATCGAGATGTGTTCGTGTGGGCTCCAACATGTCATCAAATCAATGTGTTCACAGTGGTGTCCCCCAATGATCGGGCCTTGGCCCACAGATATACAGCTTGTTTGTTAGTGCCTTACCCGAAGAACTGGGAGTGCCAGCTCTAATGTTCGCGGACGACTTTAAGTATTGGTCCACAGTAAATGATCTTAGTGGTCCACCGGTCCTTCAAAGGGCTCTAGATAGACTATGGAACTGCTCCGTTTTATACTACTTGCCTATTAATCTCGCTAAACGTTCAGTTTTGTAAGTAGGATCAAACGATCCATCGACGCACTTCATTACCCGGGAGTAATGAAGTTCGGCGTGTTTCACTTCAAGCTGACCTAGGCATTTTGTCGTCGTCCGATTTTAAATCCAGGGAACATTGAGGGCCAGCTGCTTGCAAAGGTTTTGTCATATTTCGGATGATTCGCTGCTCATCCGGGAGCATGTCAACCGAAATGTTCGCAAGATTATTTACAGACTTTGTTAGACCACAGTTTAAATATTGCGTACAGGCATGTCTACCCTGCCTAGTCCGGGACAAAACAGCAGCTGAACGAGTTTTACGGTCGGGGAAGAAAATGATGGTACAATGAACTTAGCTGCATACCCTGACAGGTTAATCAAGTTGGACATGTTTTCGATAAACTACAGGCGATTTCGCGGTGACATTGTCCTCACCTATCGCATACTAACAGGTCAGCTCAGTCCTGAATTATCTGCACTGTTCCATCCCATTCGGGTGCCAACTCATCGTGGTCATTCATTGAAGTGGTACAAACATCATTCGGACATAGTTGGGACTGATTCTCGGTTTTAACGCCGGGTTATGGACTCCTGGAATCCGCTACCCGCTGAAGTAGTGATGGCACCAACGGTGAAAGAGTTTGAGCATCAAGTTGGCGCCCTTGGTCTATAGTTTAAAATCTTCCCCCTATCATTTTAGCTTTGCGATTATCTGTTGATGCTTACACCTTTTTTTAACTTGCAAGTGCATTCCAGCGTTATTACACTCATTGCTACAGATTGGCTACTTTCCTTTCTTCTTCCATTTTTCCCTCATTACACGTGGCCGGCACAGGGGGTCTGCTAGTGTAGGGCACTTGGGCGTTTTCTTGGTTGACCTACAGTGTACCGCATGTGTTGATTTGGCTCCTCATTGCAGATCACCCCACAGATGCCACTCCTGGATCAACGACGCTTTACAAGGTGGAACTATCACGGGATTCTCCTACTGTTCCGGTTCCACTTGAACTTGAACATGTCTGTGTCCGGTAAAACACTGCAATTTTTATATTCAGTGTTTACCGTGAGCTGATAAGATCAATAGAGTCCTTCGGTGGCATGAAAGTGTGAGCCTGCTGTAATACTGATGCAGCTGAAAGAACAGGGGTTATAAATTGGCGAGAGATAGATAAGCTCACTTGCGACGATTTCACATCAGGCAAATAGGTGGCAAGTACCGTTCTTTTTCAAGTGTTGTTCAATTGCTTAAAAAACAAAAGTGACCGAAGGTGTACGCCGTAACCAAACGAATTACTGCGCTATGCCATGTCCAATACAACTGACTATTTGGCGTTAGTTAATTGCTGTACAATAAATGGATGAGAACCAAATCTGGCTGCAGAGAGCAACTCATGCTCACCATACCGGAGAATTCGCCATTGACCGTTGGTTAGTTAAGTAAACTTGACAAGATGTACCGCCTTGTCCTTAACGTAGGAGAGGACAGAATTCCAGGATTGCTGCTATAGAGAATGAAATCGTTGTTATCTTCCTAGAAAATTCAAATCAGTGATGGATATATCGTTAACATATTCGTGGATGAAACGTTTTTCAAATTTGTTAGGCAAGATAGGGTGCACATATTATGCTTTACTCAAACAAACAATACGAATTAGTAGGATATTTGCCAAAAGAAATTCTTGTGTCTGTTTTGGGCAACCAGAATTGCAACCGACCCCTTGGTAATGAAATATGAAACTAAAACCATTGGTGCGGGTCCATTAACTCATGGAAAATCTATCAATGCAAGCTGGTATCGCACCACAGGCTAACAAAAGTAGCCAATTATTTCTACAGCTTGCTTCTACTATGAGTGGGTCATTACATCGTTACAGTTTGGCCTTACGCATGAAAACAATTAGAAATGTTAAGCAGTTCTATTATTAACCTAATAGTGTGACTCAAATAGAAATTAATGGAAGGACGCGGTGACATTAGATAATTCGACTGCTTGTGTGTTAAGATTAGTTTGCTTACAAATTAATAAGTTAAAAGGCTTCCGCGTCGGATCGAGTTGGACGTTAATGAGTAGTGGCAGATGGATGACGTTTAATGGATGCTATATACGATAACAAAACTATTCAGTAGCAAATTTACTGGCCAACAAAATGACTGCATTTATTTTAAGATGTGCAAGGCATTTTCTGCGTAAGTGGCGTTTCATCTTGTAATGAAAGTGAGGCTGAGTAGTTAGTACGTTCATAACATCAGCCTTCTAGCAGATTAGATATTTTATCCTGATAACTAGTTTTCTTTAACGGCAAGGTATTCCATGTGCTATCCTCCCGGCATCTATGGAGCTTAACACACTTTGTGAACAGACGCCATGCTATGGAGTTAGTGTTGCTGCCACTTAATCACGCAAAATTTCGCGCTATAGTCATCCGAATTTTGAAAGTCGGTAATATCAGTTATTCAGTCCTTTTAATTATGAATTTAAAAGTTGACATAACAACCAAGATATATCGCCAACTCCATGTATATCGTGTTATTCCGAGTTAGGTTATCACAAACGTGTATCTTACTTTGACTGCAAATAACAAATAATGAGTTTGCGAAGCTTACACTTACAAGTCCCAAAAAAATGACACCTGAACGAGAGCATGCAGTGCAAATGAACTACAGGGCTGATTAATCCGATCGGTGTAGCTCCCAAAAGTTGCTGTTGAACGCTCTACGGATTCAATTGAAGGCGTAAAGACAGCATTTGGTTAGATTCAATGGATCTGTTCCGTTATATATTTTCTCATTATTGTACCCTAGCTTCGAATATGCATTTATCCCACCACGTGCAGAATCAATCGAAGGAAATGCAGACTCAAAATGTCGTTTTGCATCAGTAATGTGAAAAAGCACTCTCATCGAAGCTTCCCTACACTACGCTACCAGCTAAACGCTAATCGACAACGCGCTGATGACTTCACCTTGATTGGCGCCGAATCGTTTGTAACAAGCTTGCCAATTTCGGCAAACAGTTCGATTGCCAACTTGTTGTTCATGAGGACATAGCATAGATAAGAAAGCATGGAATGTTTATACTCCCTATCGTCAATCGGATATTATAGCGTACAGTAGTCGACATGTAAAGGAGTCCAATGTTTGCAACAAACACACTGCTTTGGATGCTATTCGCAACACAATGCTAAGGTACCATTGCTGCTTGTTCGTCAAGTGTTTCATGGAGATGTTGGATACGACAAGGATTATCCTTCCTAATGCTTGTGGGCGTAGTTGAAGAAAA